CATGATGCTTAAGTTCAACTGTTATCTTACTTGCTTAACTGCTATATTATGAATTGGTAGAAGTTATAATTCATGAGCTGGTCACTGGATCGGATCCCTGTGGTTTAATGGTCTGCAACCTCTCCTAGTAACCTGAAGGTCCTAGGTTCGAACCCCGGCGGGTGCGTACTGATGATCAGCCCGAAACTAAGGCAAAACAGCTGTCCAGTACTCCCAAGTTTTCCAATGGTTCTCTGACCGATGTCAGCTGATGATGGAAACCTCCAACCAGTCAAACAAAAGTCCTACAAAAATCATCACTTGAAAACCAATTAACTGTGCGAATTCATTTTAATTTTTAAAATAACCCCGCTTTAGGTTCAAACACATGTAGTTGTTTTTCCCATCTGATTTATATAAGTACAAAAGTTAGAGACGTTAATTAGGTTTTGCCATGATTTTAGACGGAATCTGATGTGCTGCGCAAGGTGCACTGAGTTTCATGTAAGCAGCTGATTATAGCGATCAATTTCCGTATTTCATATTAGTTAAGTTTATTTTATTAATCACACAGTGATCTAGCATTAACAACTTGATGACGTTTCGAACATAAATTATTGCCAATATTCATATCAGTTTAGTCACGTGGTTTCACAACTTGCCTTAATTATATTTTCTCTCTATACGTATCTCCAACTTCCCTTTGTTTTTGTTGCCAATTTCCACATATCCGATATAGGCGTTGCGTCATTTCAATCTCACGTACGCGGTGTTGAATCGGTAAGCAAAGCTTCAGTGATTGAGCTCTCTCTCCATCTAACTATACTACTTTTAGATACTCTCACCCTGTCCTACCCTATTTTGTGATTATATGCAAATGAATGCAGTGCACTGGCTGAGATTTTGTTAGGCAACAAACAGCAAAGGTAAGCTGGAGAGACAGCAAGAGAGAAAATATGTATAAGACAAATTGTAAAAACATGATAGTATGATATGGTTATGAGCAATAATTTATGCTCAAAACGTCATCCAGTTGTTATTAATACATCACTGTGTGGTTTTTAAAATGAATTTATCTAATATGGAATAACATTCTACCACAGCGACCAAATTCTACACTTGTCCTGATAAATTTCTGCATTTATACCTGCCAGCCTGAGCAGTTATTCTTGAGAAAGCATTGTATCTACGCATTCATAGGAAGAAAGACAAGTAATATGTAAATGGTTCTAACACTGCATACTTTATAAAACGAAATAACCCTAACTGAACCATGGATCTACAAGTCTACAAACGGTTTCATTTACTTTCAATCAGTAGTTGGCAAAATAATTGTCACCGTATACCAAATACGTCTTTACTAGGTATTATCTTCTGAAGAGCTTATTAAGAGCTACACTAGAGATTCCCCCTAGACCACTGCAAACAGTGTGAATATCCTTTGATATCAAATTTATAACTGATTATTCATATGAATGCTACTGAGAAAAAATAAAAATGTTTACTATGACATAAGTAGAAATTATCATTACAGAACTGCTTGGACACATTCTTTAACCTAGACATTTCAAAGTTAAGACTGAATAATACAAATCTGCTGATAATACAGACACTAAATATTTATGAATCTGATATATGTGTGAAACTTGGGCACTGTAGCAGTAAGTAATTCCATATTAGTTTGTTTATTAGATGTCTATCACACACAGCATTATTTACTGGATGACGTTTCGAACAAAATTACGTCTTTTTATTGCATTATTATTACTGTCACTATTATTATTATCATTATTATTTTTATTATTATTATCACTATCGCTACTATAATTATTTATTTTATATTTACATTTCCTTACATATTTCCTGACTAATTTATCCGTTTGGATTGTTGTCTTCATCATTGTGAGATAAAGATTTCTCTTCTAATAAATTAGTCAGGAAACATGTAAGGTAATGTAAAAATAAAATAATGATGGTAGCAATAGTGATGATAATAATAATGATAACACTAATAATGATAATAGTTATAGTGATAATAATAATAATATTAATGACGACACCAACAATAAGGAATCTAAATCATCAGTAGTAATTCCATACAAGGAAGGAACCTCGGAAGCCTTACGCAGAATTCTTAACAAGGCAGGAATAAAAGTGGCATTCAAACCCACAAACTCAATTAGAAACAAGCTTTGTCGGTTAAAGGATCCTGTAGAACCATTAAAACAAAACAATTTAGTTTATCTAATACCCTGCAATGATTATGAGGTCAAATACATAGGTCAAACTAGTAGAACAGGGGCAGTCAGACTAGCCGAACATAAAAACCTAGAAAAATCTAGATTGGTCGACCCAAATAAGATAAGAAATCTAGAGAATAGTTCAGCTATAACACTATATGCAGTTACACACAACCACACAACAGGATGAAATAGGATGACAGTTTTAAAATCTAATGTCACAGGGTTGAGGGAGAGATTGATAACGGAAGCTTTGTTTATCGAATCAACTGCAAATACATGTAATAGGAATGATTCAACACCTGTCCGAAATACCTGGAAAATTCTACTACCCTACGACAAATAGGAGAAGACAAAGAAAACTATAAAACTCAAGTTTAAAAGTCGTGTGATTACAATGATATGATTATGAACAATAAATTGTGTTCGAAACGTCATCCAGTAAATAATGCTGTGTGTGATAGACATCTAATAAACAAACCAATATGGAATTTAGGAATCTAACTCTGTCTGAAATACTATTTCTCTACTAAGTTGAATATCCAAATATATAGAATTAAAGAGTCTGATAAACGTACACAATATCCTATAATGAAGCGAGAATCTCTAATTCAACCCACTAAAGCCGAAGATTTCATTGAACAAAATCTTTTGTAAAATAATCACAATATCTGCTTTATTTTATTAATACTTTTATGATCTACTTTAATTTAATTCACAGTAATTGGCAGATTTTCTGATGCAATTCGTGAGTTATTTTCATGCGTTCGGTGAGAACCAAGTATCCAAATCTCCACCAGTATCAAACAGGGATGTCTCCTACTAACATGTGACTTAGTAAAGATTATTTCATATTTTAGTGATGACCAGTAGTCAACTAGGTAAAAGGCTTGTTTCATTATTTACTTTTAATTTTACTTTATTCCCTCACCTTCCCAGTGGAACACAGGGCTTCAAGCTACAGACTTGAAGTTTCGCTAGCAGTGGTGTTAAATTTTACGGGATGAAGTCGCTAGGCTTATGCTCATCCTTCTATCTTTACCGGTCTCATTACCGGCTCAGTTGGGTAAGGGGGTGCGCCAGTCGGGGATCAAACCCCGAGCCGCATGCGTAACCGGCCAGCATTCTACCGTTGTGCCACTAACACCCAAAGAGTTTATAAATGCATTAGATTAGGTATGAATCAATTATCCATGCTGATCGCATCTGCCAACTAATGTCGGAATGACAGATTATAAAGGACAAGTTTCAGAGTTGATTAAAACGGAAATTATTTACACACTTAACGGTTAGAGTGTAAAAATTGGAGACGTATTTAAAACACTAAATACTTGGTAGCAAGCTGGTAAAAGTGATATTGGACAGCTCAAACCTATTAAATGAATTAAAAATTATACTGTTTTCAGCTGAAAATGATTTCCCAGTTGATGTTTTCAGGGTGGACAGTAACCTGACCTCAAAATCTTAATCGCCAGCTACTGAACGTCTCCATCACTACCTCTAATATCTATTACTGATGATTCATATGTACATAAATACTTGCTGACAGTGAACTTCGGGATGCATGCTACATGCAGTTATGCATGATCACAAATGAAGAGTCAAAATCGTCCTTTGCACCTTGGTTTGCAATGGCCTAAAAATCAGCCGGTTCTTTGTGAACAAACAGATCTTTGTGTTGGTTTTTCCATAATTAGTTAGGCTTTTACGGAGTGGCCTTTGAACTTAGTAAAATTAATTCCAGTTTCGATTACTGGGAAGGAGTGTTGCGAATAGGTCTGGCTGTCTACTATCACCAATGACCTTCCTGATTGCAATTGATTGGATAATGCGACAGACAACGACAACCAACGAGGGAACAGGCATAAAATGGACTGACACAAAAGACTTGGAGGATCTGGATTTCGCCCATGATGATATATGTCTGATTTCCCACAAACTGGAAGATATGCAAGTGAAAAGCAACAAGTTGGCAGAACAAGCATCCAGAGAAGATAGGACTTCAAGTGAACATAGATAAAACAGAGGTGATGAAGATTCCTAGCCAACATCAACAGCAAAAACAACAACAACAGACAACAATCAGCCAGCATAAATGGGAGGAACCTGAAAGAAACAACCTCCTTCACCTACCTGGGAAGCATCGTCTCAACTACAGGCGGAACTGACGAGGATATCAAAGCCAGAATCGGAAAAGCAAGACAAGCTTTCATTACTCTCAAATCTGTGTGGAGGTCAACAGCACTCAGCATCAAAAATAAGATCCGGATTTTCAACTCCAATGTGAAGTCAGTGCTACTATACGGATCAGAGACTTGGCGAGTCATAAAGAGCATCTAAAACAAACTTCACACCTTCATTAACAGTTTTCTTCGCTCAATACTCAAGATAAGATGGCCAGAAAAGATCAGCAACAGGGATCTCTGGCAATGAGCGAACCAACACAGCAGGAACCGATTGTGAAACAAATAGGCAGAAAGAAATGGAGATGGATTAGCCATACGCTGAGGAAACCATCAAGTGACATCACTAGACAAGCCATTGCTCGAGGGTAACCCGAAAGGGAGGCGGCGAGTTGATCGTCAGTGCAAGGGTGACTTGGAGGAGGTCATGCGAGGAGGAGATGAAAGCATGTGGACAGACCTGGAGCAGGGTGAAAAAGTTGTCAGAAAACCGAAGGCAATGGAGGTGCGCAGCTGAAGCCCTATGTTCCTCTAGGAACTAAAGGATACAATAATAATAATAAACTTTACTGTCTACTTATAGGCTTTAAACTGTAATCTTCGTTAACTTTTATTATAAATTAATAACATATTCATAGAATAAATGATCAGGAGATTTTTTCTGGTTGCAGGTATGTAAGTGCATTTTTTTACTTTGAAAAACAGTATTTAAATGACTTATATTGTGTCAGTTTTTAAAGCGAATGGGAATGATCATAAACAGTATCACAAACAGAAGTAAAACCGTAACGACCTCACTTTACATTCATCATGCAAAATTATATTGTAATGCTGATCGCGACTTCAAAAAATCCAGAGTAAGATTTATTGAATTAACCGGATTAGTACTCACTACTGTATACATGAATGAAATGTAAATCAGTTAATAAAGCATTCAGTGGTTTTCCAAGTAGCAACTGGAAAGTACTTAATTACTTTCTTAAATATCTGTAATGGTTTACATTTGATGTTATCTTCACTTCTGATGTTGGCTAATGTTTATATTTTCGTCTCCTTTCTACAGGACTTTCACCTCTTCTTGCTGCATTATTCAAGTGGAATTCTTGACGCGCAAGAAACATATAGATAGGTCCTTTATTGCAGGGGAACAGCCCTTCATGGGGATCAAAATCAATAAATGATACATTATCCAAGATATCGGAGATAGAAGTCTCCATTTCAACTTCAGGACTTACTGTAGCAGAGTAACGAGAAAATGAAAGTAAAACAGGGGATGGTTCATCAAAATAATTCTCTTCTACACGGCTTAGGGGTACAACTTGGAAATCGTCCTCATATGCCTCAGAGGAAACTTTCTGCATTAATACTGGCGAATGGGGAAGTGAAGGTGGATTGACTTGAGATGTTTGCAATTTTGATATTAGGCTCATTCGATGTGGTGTTGGACTGGTAACTACATTGTGAGCTGCTAATACTGGTTCTTTTCTCTTCAGTAATGGACTGGTTTCTACTTCTGGAACTTTTTCTTCAGAATTTATGGAATCTTTTGTACCATTAACTTCAAAGACGTCATTACTACCCTGTACCGCTACCTGGACATCTTCCAAGTTTACTTCTCTTGCTGGTTGAGAGGGTAATGTAACATATTTCAAAGCATTGACATCTCGAAGTATTTTATCCGGATCACTAAATGCTTTCATTAGTAGGTCTTCAATTCTTTTGACATTATCTGACGTTTTACACTTATATATTTCATAATAATTCACATATTTTTGATTTGAACAGACATATAAAACAAAGAATTCAGGTCTGCCAGTGCTTTTGAAGAAGTTCATTATATCTTTGTAAGAAACCCACGGACGAAAAGGTACTTTTCCAGATGATTTAATACGCTGCAAACAGAGTCGATCTTCTAACAAACATGCATTACAATGAGCCTGTCTTTTCTTGTGATACTTGTTGAGGTAACGTAAAGCTTTGTTTTCTTGAAAACCGGCTGCATTTTTCTCTACCACTCGGTATATTGTACAGACATGGGTTTCTAAGAATAGAAGCTGTTTAGTTGCAACATGACGCAATACTTCATCAATGAACACAGCACTTTCTGTTCTGCGTATATTGGAGTTATTATAACTAATATCTGAAGTCATGCTATTATGCTTATCAGTATGCGCTGCTGACGCTTTTGATTTCACCATGGTATACTTCTTGAAGTTTTCCTTCTAAGTAGACTGTATACGACTTGAAAGATAATGTAAATAAGCAAGCTATACGACAAAAGCTTTCAGATATATATCATCATAAATGTCTAGCGAAATAAAAAGTAAGCATATTAATTTCTATGGTTGGCTAAATATTTACAGTTTTAAATACTAACTAATCAGGCGACTTAAGATTGCTTTAGGGGGTGAATAAAAAATAAATCTGAGTTATATCGATCAAATCAAACTGTCGTATGGAATTTAAGAAAATATTCTATTAAATTAAATTTATGAGTTAGTAAAAATGCGTAATCTTATAGTTCCCACTCACTTTTTCACTTTGTATTTCTCATTTCACACTTTATGAGAATGATATTTCTGTATAATATGCATATTTGTAAACATGTTTAATCAGTGTATTTAATTTTGTAACAATATAATGCGTAGTACAGACGACAGACAGATATTGTAATGGATTAACCGAATATCAGATAATTTGTCACTGATCTTTATTCCTAACTACTGACATTATTTATTCGTCTCTTAGCATTACCCTCCCTATCAGACCCTTGCAAATGGGAAGCTCTTATATATCTAATGACTTGACGGATAAATTCATAAAAAGACATAAGATCTAAAGAAATTGTTTCATATTACTTTACGATCACGTTTTTAGAACATGAACTGTCAATAAAGAGATGTATAGAAATGCCTTATCCGTATGGCTAGTAAACTGGAACTGATTTATTGTCATTTGAAAACAATGAGAAATATGTGGTGTGCTTGATTCAATCACAATATTAGTTATTATTTACTTTCCCTAGTGGTTTGTCCGATTTGAGAGAATATTTCTGAGTTCATAATGGCTAATCGTACACAAAAATTTACAGAACACGTTGGTGGAAATTTTTTACCCTGACGAATCTATGACTTTTTCTGAAGAAGGATAAAGTGGTAAGTTTCATTAACTATAATAATATATCTTTGCTTGAAAGTCTCTATAGAGATTAAGTTATCTCCCAGGATAGATTGGCTAGATCTATGCCCAACCTTCCCCTTTTATGGAGTTAGAAGTGGCAGATAAACTGGGCTAGGTTGAACCAGGGAGTGTATAACATCTGTTTCGTCCTTGTTTGCTATCCTTCATCAATACGCATTCACGACTCCACCAGATGTCAGACACAGAATCTTCAAATTACACAGTGGATTCGCATACCACTAAGCAGCTGGGACAATGGACCAACGAACTGGAAAAGAGCCGATCAAGAACTTACTGTTTAACAAATATGGAAAAAGAAATAGAGATGGATCCAACTTATGCTAAGGAGATGGTGAGCACTACCGCCTTCCAGGACGTCGAAAGGAATCCGGATTGAAAACGACTAGTTGGCCGCTCGACGGTGTTGTGAAAGAGATTGCGTGAGGAGGAGACAAAAGCTTTTGGGCGATCGCGGGCTGTAGAGGACTGCAGAGAACAGGATGGACTGCAGATGTGCTGCTGAAGTCGTATTTTACACTCCGGATCCAAGGGGAAAATAATAAATGTTGGAATACCTGTGTAAGAGAAGATTAGAAATGAAACATCGGTGAAAGAAGATATATATACCAAACAAATGAATACAAAATTACACCGAACCTCAAATCTACATTCATCTCAGCCATCAATTCATGTTTATTGTTTATATATATATATATATATATATAAATTCACCAAAACCCATACATAATAATAGTAATCTGCTTTATTTCAAAAACAGTGCTTATAGTACAGCAGAGAATTCGTAGAATTTGTTACAGTATTGCATTTAATTAACTCAAAATATAAATAAAGTTAACCACAGGATATTTTCCATATTTACAGTGGGAATAATGCCAAAAATGTGCAAAGTACAAAATGAGAAAGATGACTATAATAATAATAAACAGCCTTTTTGTTTCAGACAAAACTGTCGATACAGTATGGGAACTTTGGCATGCTATAGAGTATTGAATCTAATATTCTCTTAACAGAACGTGGTGAGAGGGGAAGAAAAAAAAAGTAATTATTACACAGCTTAAATAATGTTTACACTTATGAAAAAATAAATAAAAAATAAGAGGATTATAAATATAAGGAGAATAATAACTGTAAAGCTTGATGTTTTAATAGTGGAGAAAATTGTTTATTTACCAATGGTAAGAAGCGGGAGAAAGAGGGGTACACCTCCGATTTTCTGAACATATGCCGAAAAGCCTACATCTCAAGGGAACAAACACTTATAACAGCGCTATTACCAAACATCTCTTCGATACGGGTCATGAGGTGGAAATCGCAAAAATCTTTTAAAATTATCAATAGACATAGCAGCTCGGTTCTTTTCAAGTTTGCTGAAGCAATTTCTGTCAAATGCTTGGAACCAGATTTATGCGTCCAGAAAGAAGCAGTTATTAGTGTTTGCTTGTCTTGGTAACTGGATGTCTTTATTCTCCCTTTCATTTGATTGCGTAATCTTTGGTTTTAACCTCACCCCGTTTTATAATTTGTAATTTTGCTTGTCTCTTGTTTCTATGATTTCAGGTGAACTCATTAGATTGTTACCTAACTTATAAGTCACTAGTCATCTTACGCATCTCTCGTCTTTATTACGTAACTCCTTTACCATTGTGTGCATACATTTATTTTGTTTAAACTTGAACTGCCTGTGTAAAAACTACATAAGCGAAATTTTCTGCGCACTGTTCAATAATTGCAGAACCTGCTGTCAGCTGACATAGTGAAAAATTCGCAAGTATGTCAAAAGTTTTCTGTGCATAAACCTCAAAACTTATTTAGGCTGTAAGCAGATGATGAGAAGCCAACGAAATAAATGATGGTACCATATTTTTATGCACAGACCGCTGTTGTTTTTGCTGTGTACAAATCATGCCTGACACTATTTTTATCACTTGAAGTGCGAGCTAAATATGGTATTGTGGCATTTTGATACCTAAGCGTGTACGAAAAGTCATTTGAAATGACTTCTTGTCCTACCTGAGGAGATGTAAGGTGATATATGTGGGTAAAGTGTACGCTCACTATTCGAAAAAATTCCTTTAGTAAATTTATTACCTCAAAGGTCTTGAGAATTAACAGCCTCATTTAACTTTCGTTTACATCTCAGACTAAGATTAACAATCCGACATTTGGGAGAAACAAAAGATTGAACAGAGAATATGCTTTCCGACAATTTTCTCTTCTGGCTCTACAACTATCAATATGTTTATATATATAGAGTATTCTAGAATAGTGGTATTTTTTAAATAATATTGATTTGTTACGTAGGGTCGATGGAATTACAGTTCAATAAAGATGCATAAATTATAATAAGCATAGAAGTATAATAGTAAATATAATATCAAATAAAATTAAGGTAATTTCCATAAAATTTTGAGGATCATTAGAACCTTGATGGCCAAGGTAAGCACAGTATTTGGACCAGCTTTTTCGAATATATAAGTTAGGTTTCTTATTGTGGATCTCAACAGCATCAGCAATATGTAGTAGACAAACTCTTAAGTTAAAGTTAAGATTAGTTGGTATGCGGTAAATGACTCTATCTTATGTTGTGTATCCACAAGATGAGATAGAATAGAACTATGGATGAACTTTGTTTGTCCCTTGCTTAACCATTCTGGGTGGTGTCTGGAAATCTGATGAGAAACACGCCTAATTGTACGGCCTATGTAACTGGCTCCACAGGGGCAGTCAAATTGTCAGATACGCATTGAAGAGGCGAAATCTGACATTTGGAAGGACTTAGTTTAAGACCACTAGACAATGTCCATTTATTGAGTCTTAATAGATAGCTGTTCATCTCGATATAGTCTACATGGAAAATTAACAAGCGCCGAAACAGTTGAATAATCCTCATACTTAGCAAAATTTCATTTCATCAGAGTGTAGGAAGTCATCCAAGCAGAAAAGCAACAGAAAAGGAGAAAAAACAGCGCCTTGAGAACTATGGATGGTGAATTGGTTTCAGAATTCGGTTTCCTTAAACGGAAATTCTGAAGCCCGAATATTTTCTACGGTACAGTCAAATAAGATGCATCTGCAAATGATAGATGAAAAGCCTCCTAATTGACAAGCAGGGATAGGGGTCTTATGCATTACACCTTTTTGATAATCTGGAGAAACTAATTGTGCACAAAATGGAAACAGGATTATGTGACAACAATATTGAGAAAACCTACCTAATAGATTCCGAAATTAGTCCGTAAAAACAATCTGTTTGGAAACAAAACGTCTCTTTGGTTTTATTACCTTATGTCCGAAAATACTTGTCTGATTGTATGAATCCCAATCAATAAGTCGTATTTATTTTTTTAGATTATTTGTTTCATAACTTAACCAAAACCTTTTCCATTTCTGTTTAAAAACCTCTTGTTATTTGAATACATTTGACTCCTTCATAAGACTCCTCCAAATTCAAAATTACTTCGTCAAAAATAAGGCGAAGCAAATTTTTTACAAAGGATTTTTAATTTTTAAAGACCAAAAATTAAGAGGGAAAAATAAAGCCAAAAAAATAAAAAAAACAGGGGAGGGTTAAAATTCTAAAAAGTAATCTAGGTAGGTGGAGAGAGAGGTTGATTACTGAATCCTTGTTCATCGAGTCTACACCCAACACATGCAATAGGAATGACTCGTCACTCATACCTGAAATATGGAAAATACTATTACCAATCAAATCAAGTGAAAATCAAGAGAAAAACAATGGAACTATATAAATGAATTTAGGAAGTCGTGTGATTACCTTGATATGATTATGAGCAATAAATTGTGCTCGAAACGTCATCAGTAAACATTACTGTATAACACTGTGAGACTTTATCAAAACAAAATTTACCCATAATAGAATTACAAATTTTTTACGTTTGAAAAAATAGTAATAACCCGGAAGCATAACTAATAATTTTTAAATTGCAGTGAAGAGAATTTTCTTTCCGACGAAGTCATCATCTAGGCTGTACATTCGTGTATTTATATCAAATGGATGGGAAAGTTCCAGAATAATATCCGGTTAAGGGTCAAATTAATAAAATTTAGAATTAGGAATTAGAATGCCATGATAAACATGGGATGGATAAAACTCAAACAAAGTAGCATCATAAT